CCCCCACCAGCTTGGGCGAGCCGTAGCCCGAGCAGGGCCCCCCCCGGGCCCCCGGCCCTGCCCGGCTTAGCGCCGCGATTGTCATTAGGACGTGGAATTACTGCCGGCTCCTTCAGGTCCCTGCGATGCCATCCAATATCCTAAATGCCGGTGAGGCTGTGGCGGGGGGGGCCCCCTCTCCGCCGCCCTCCTCCAACTAATCTTTCAGAAAAATACCTTAATCTGAGGCAGTATCCGCAGATGATTGTGGCGCAGCCGCCCCTAATCCGCAGGCACGTTCGCAGGTGCTGGGCCGATCTCCCCGTATCGGATATTAAAGCATGTTTGCAGAGGGGTTTAGCTGCCATCAGAACATTAATCACTGTGTCCAGCTCTGGCACGTTGCCTGCTCAGCAGGTGTCCTAGCCCACAGTGCCCAGGGTGGGCAGTGCCACTGGCCCCTCTCCCCACTGCAGGGCCACTAGTGCACTGAGCTGGTTCAACTCTCTGCTCCAAGGCACCCAGGAAGCTCTGCACTGAGCCACTCTTCCCGCTAGGTTTAAGTGATTGCTGGTGGCAGGGACAGCCTTGGAACGGAGCTGCACCTTGCAGTCAGGTCTGGGGCCTTGCTTTGACCCATCTGGGACCCCTGAATGCTCTGGCAAAGCCCTTGGGGTCCCTCGGCCTCTGAGTTGAGGGACAAACCCCAGCTTCCGCTTGCTGGCAGGGAGAGACCAGCTGGGGCCTATGTGGGCGAGGAGGGTTTTCCCGAGCCAGCTCAGCACAGAGCAGGTACTCGGCCCCCCATGGGACACCGGTGCTGGATGGCAACAGAAAAGGGCGAGCACTTCTCCATGGCAGCCCAAGTTTCTGCCCCAGTCCCGTGGCTGAGGGGAAGCAGCTCGCCAGCGCAGGGAAGGCAAGCTGCCGGCTCTGCTGGCGGGCACGGTGCTGCTCTGGCAGGCTGCTATGACGGGGGCTCCTCCTCCGGGACCCAACTTTCTTTTTGGCACTGACAGTCACAGGACCATGGATCAAGAGAGGCGGCAGCTCCCAGCGCGACTTCTCCCTGAACAGGAACACAGTGTAAGCTACACAAAGGGTACGTCTGTCTGCTGAGCCGCTGGAGACGAGGCTGAAACCCCAATGCGCCTGCAGTGCTGCTGCATTAGACACTGTTGTTCTCCTGAACAGGTCTGCGCGGAGGGGAAGTGTACTTGCCACCAAATATGAGATGGGTCATGTAACTGCCATGCTGGTCACAAGTGAGTAACGCTCTCCCTAAAGCGGGCAAGGGGCCAGGTAGGAGCAGTAAGAACAGGCCACCTGAGGGCATTGATTTCTGCTGGAGATGGAACAGGATAAAGAGGGAGAAAGATTCACAGCTCTCTGTGGTGTCTTTTAGATGCCAGGCCAGTGGGCTGCATAGCAACAGAACTCTTCTGTCAGGCAGGAAGAAGATTGCAAACATAAACACAACATATTTATTCCAAAAAAAAAAAAAAGACAGCAACTTCAGAAAAGAACTGTAACAGCAGTCGCTGACACTCCTCTCTATACTGGCATAGTATGAGTCCACTGCTGTTGGTTCTTCTGTTCTGCTGCCACAAGATCTTTAATCCATGATTCATTTCAGGAAGGTGAGGAGCAGGCAAGCAAAGGATGAGGCCTGAGGAATGCAGCAGTTTTCCTGGTAACAGGAGCAGGTACAAACATTTGGTAGCCCAAGGACAAACCTGCCCAAAATAAATGGCTCCTGGGGAGGGCAAAAGCCTCCAGCATGAGGGTCGCAGTTCGCAGGGAAACGCCCAGTCATAGTTTCCCGAGGTCCCCTTCGAGGGTCCGCACCATCACATACAACTCGGCCAAGCCAACCACTGAGGCCACAATTACTGCTGACAGGATGCGCTGGGGACACAAAGAGAGAGAGTTAAGTGACCCCACGCATGTGCTCAGGCTGCTGCCTGGTGCCAGGGAGTGCGTCTGCTGCTCCGGTCTGGCCTCTACGACACGCTCACTCACCGCAGCCGTCTCGGCAAAGATGTACTGGCTGCCCAGGTACGTGCAGGCAAACGCGGCTGCCACGGTGACAATGAAGTTGAATATGGTGATGACCACAGCTTTAACAGATCGAACTGGAGAGAAGGGGGAAAGATGGTGATTTTTAGGAAAGGCTAGAAGCTGCTTGTTAAGTAGCCTCAGAGAGAAGAGTTTGGGACAAGCTATAATCCTGCTAACTGAATCTGCCAGTGGCTGCCTCAGTTTGGCTACAAGAATACTCCTGAATTCACATGCTTTATGCCTCCCGAAATACCAGTAAGAACTACACGTGGGCTGCTCCTTTACTCAAGGAATGCTTTCGTGCATTAAAGCCATCCAGTGAGATACTGCAGCTTGGAGCAGGGACGGCTGTTGTATGTCAACAACATACACACAACTAGTGATGTGACAGTTCCCAAGACTGATTTTTCTGCCTGTAGGTACACACTGCCTGGTGTCAGCAGGAGAGGCAGTCACTCACCTTGCCTCCCAAAGTCGGCCAATGTCCCGTACCGGTTCAGCTCCTAAAATAAAGGATTAAAACAACTTGTGTTGTATTATATTTTAATAACAGAAGTGATTCCGATATAATATCCTGTCTGAACAACTCATTCAGAAACATAGCCGGCTTCTGTGGGGCTCTAGCAGTGGTGAGACATGCTGTAGCTGAGAAGCGGTTTCATAAAGCCTGGGTTTCCTCTGGATTTGTGCTTGTGGTCAGTCTGTGACACTGAAAAGGGATGATTTCTAATCCCTGCTCACATCCCCCCTCTATTTTATTCATTCTACTGGGAAAATTTCCTTTACTGTCTGTCACATTGCCACCTGTTATGCTTTTAAGGAATGATTCCTGAACGGATACCAGAGGATGCCCACATACACATGGCATAACTCCAGGAGCCTCAGATAATTAGAACTTAAAGTAGAGATCAAAAGGTCATCCAGCCTCTCCTGTCCTTCAAGTCAGCTTCAGCTGGTTTGGGGATAACACTGATTTGGCAGCCTGGGTGGGTTCATGTGGTTTTTTTAATAGATGGGTTTTTGCAGCCTGCCTTTTGGGGGTGGCAGAGCAGCTGGGGAGCGCATCCCGAGTGCCAGCCGCAGCACTCACCTGGCCGGTGACATTGCGGGTCATCCGCCG